GACACCGGGAAGATGAGAGATTCATATGGGCATCAAGGGGAACATTGACGAACTTAGCTTCTTTCATGCCAAACTTCGTTATAACTTTGTGTAGGTAGGGTTCTTGTGATATAGTTAGCATATTTTCTTGTCTATTCAATTTATTACCATCCCTAAAATTTTATTGGCATTTCCTAAGTCATTTATATCAAATTCAGACCTTAATAGATTTTTCAGTCTAATTATTTTAGCTTTACTGGGGCTGGCCAAAAGCATATCGTCTACATAGAGTAGTAGATATGATTCAATGCTGATTTTAGAGTTATTATAGTATAAACAATGGTCATATTCACTCCTTCTAAAATCAATTTTCAAAACATATGTGTCAAATCTTATATACCACTGTCTTGGACTTTGTTTGAGTCAATACAGAGATTTTTGCAATTTACAAGCAAAATCAGATTTCTCATTTTCTTCAAAACCTTGAGGTTGACACATGTAAATGTCCTCTTCCAATTCCCCATGTAAAAAAGCAATTTTTCACATCTAATTGTTCAAGTTCCCAATTAAATTGAACAACTAGAGCCAAAAATGAGTTTTATGATTTTGTATTTAATTACAGGTGAAAAATTTTCATTGTAATCTACTCCCTCCCTTTTAGTGAACCCTTTGACTATAAGCCTTGCCTTATACCTTAAAGGATCAGATTCTAAAATCCCTTCTTTCAACTTAAAGATCCACTTACATTGAACCACTCTTTGATTCTTTAACTTCTTTACAAGTTTCCATGTTTTATTTTCAAGAAGGGAATTCATTTCTTCTTTCGTTACTTCTTTCCATTCTTTTGAATTAGAACTACTCATTGCTTCTTCATAAGATACGAGTTCAGAATGTTCTAAGTTTTCACCAGATGTGAGAGCAAATTTAGTCAGATTATTCATTTTATACATAGGGTTAGGTTTAATCTGTCTCCTTTCCCTATCTCTCACCAATTGATAATCTTGGGTACTAGCTTCATTTCCCGGGTAGTTAGACGCCACATTTTCAGATTCTGTTTCAGTTTCTGTTTGGGGTGAATTAACTTTACCTTCTCCAGTGTTTTCTACACTTTCACTAGCATGTACAAGTTCTGGTTCAGTTATATCAGATATGTTAAATACTTAATTTTGCCAACTTCATCTTTTTGGGAAGTGCCCTTTTCAGCCAGATCTGGTTTATCCATCTTATTCTTCAAGCAATGCATCTCAGTCTCATTAAATAGCACATTTCTGCTATTAATGATCTTTATTTCCTCAATACCAAGTACCCATAACTTGTACCACTTAACCCCTTCAGGGTATCCAAACATAACACACTTGGTAGCCCTGGGATCTAATTTTCCCTCAATCTGATGTGCATATACAATACATATCAATACTCTTAAGTGTGACAGATTTGGTGGTTTTCTAGTCCATAGTTCCTATGGAGTTTTAAACTCTACAGAACTATAAGGAGACCTATTTATGAGGTAGGCAGTAGTGCATTGAGCTTCTGCCCAAAACCCTTATGCAAGCCCAAAACTGATCAGCATACATTTTACCTTATTCATGAGGGTTCTATTCATTCTCTCAACAACCCCATTTTGTTGAGGTGTGTGCGTAATAGTTCTATTTCTAATTATTCCCTTTTGCTTGCAAAAATTATCAAATTCAGCATTGCAAAATTCCAACCCATTATCTGTCCTTAGGGTTTTCAATTTCTTGTCCAATTGGTTCTTCACCATCTTTAAACACAATCTGAATTTTTTAAAAGTTTCAGTTTTGGATTTCCCAGACCTTTCTAGAATAATTATCAATTATAGAAAGAAAATATTTATTTCCACCAAAGGTTGGGTGGTTTTCTAGCCCCCATAAATCTGCATGGATATAGTCTAATGGTCTATTCGTTGTGTGTGACCCGATCTCAAAACTCACTCTACAAGACTTCCTAGCACACATGTTTCACAAAAATTAAGGGGTTCAACTTTATCTTTTCCGAACAATTTATGATCATTAAGATACTTTAAGCCCTTATTTCTAATATGACCTATTATACAATGACACATTTCAGATTTGTTCTTAGTTATAGTTAAAGATTTTGGGCCCTGGGAATTTACAGTTTTTTCCATTAAGCAGTATAGCCCATACCTTATGGGCCCCTTCATTACTATAAGAGATCCTTTCAAAATTTTCAAAGTGTTATTTTCAGATTTAAATGTATGTCCCTCATCTTCAAGAATTCCCAATGAGATGAGGCTTCTTTTTAGATTTGGGACATATCTCACATTTTTAATCTGCCTGACAATTCCATCATACATTTTGATTGAAATGTCACCAATTCCAAGAATATTTTGTGAATTGTTATCACCCATATATACTTTCTTGGGTTCTATCTCCTTGTAGTTATGAAACCAAGATTTATTTGGACACATATGAAATGTACATCAGTGTCTGTTTCTTCATTTCTCACAGTCATTACAAAAAGACTGTCAAGTTCAGAACTCACGGCAGCATTAATTAACTCAATGTTGCTGAATTCTTTCAGCTTCTTTTTTAACTCAAAGCAATCTCTTTTGAAATGTCCAAGTTTTCCACAGGGATAACATTTTTTATTGCTTTTGTCTCTTAATTTAGGTCTTGTTTTAAATTTGGAATTGAATCTTTTATTCTGTGAATCATTTTCCCTCTTTTTTGTCCTTCCTCTCACAAATAAACTCTCCTCTCTTGACTTTAGTTTAGATTCTTTCTTAACTTCCAATTCCCTAGATCTTAGGGCATTTGTTACGATGGATTGTGTTAACGCATCTCTTGAGTATTTTATCTGATATCCTTATAAGAATCAGATAAGGAGTTTGGAAGTATCATTACAAGATCGTCATCTTCAAATTTTTTTATCATTATGAGCAAGACTTTTCACCAATATGCTAAAATCACTCAAATTGGTTTCAAGGTCTTTCCGGTCATCCATTTTAAAACTGAATAGTTTTTCGAGGAGATAAATTTAATTTGGTAGAGTCTTAGTCAAGAACAAATTATCTAAGGCTATCCATAGATCTCTAGCAGTTTTGGTTCCTCTACTTGCCTTACTATATTAGCAAATAAGTACAGGATAATCGAGCTATAAGCTATTCATTTATTTTAAGAATCTCATGAGGTTTGGCTTTAAGTTCGTCAAAATATTTATCAGGATCATCCAGGGCTTTAGCAACCCTTTGTTGGACCAGTGTGGCCATCATTTTCTGCTTCCAAATTGAGTAAGCCCCATTTTCATCGAATTGTGATAATTCGACTTTCGAACCCATCATAGGTTCTATAAAAGGATGGTTACTACTGGAAGTCATGACAGATACCACAATTTATGATCACCAAAAAATTAAGAAACTTTCTAACAGATTTAAAGGAATGCAGATCACTGAATGAAAGACAACTATCCTATCTTGCACAACTGAAACAGTATACACAAGCAGCCAACGTGTTGAGAATTCAAAGAATTACACAAAAGATATAAAGAACTTTGTATAATACCTAAATATGTTCCTATTGTCAGATTAATTATCAATACAGAATGTACAATTTCAATAATCAATCCACAATACAATAGACATGCAATTTTGTGCACCAAATTATACAGGTTCTTTTTAAGGTAAAATCTCACCCACGGCACCGTTGAACAACAGTGCAATCAAAAGAATTTCAAGAATCGCCCTATCACCTACCAAAACTGGAACAGGTCACGGGCTGACCAATCTTTAGTTCTTGACCTACGCACTTAATAGAAAAATTAGTCTCCTTAAGTATCTGTGTAGATCTTTAAGATCTGGACAGAATAATAAAATATCAAGAAAAGGAAGGCCGAATACCAAAATCAGAAAAAACCATAATATTCACGATGGTTTCTTTTCTTCAACCCACCGAGTATCCTCAGGGCAAGGTATATGATGCAGATACCTCGAAAATCGAGCTTTGATACCAGATTTGTAAGGATTATCAACCCAAAACCCACAAACTATCGTAAAATAGTAAAACAAAACAAGAACAGAAAATAGAACACGCAAATTGTTCACCCAATTCAGCCAAACACAGCCTAATCTGAGGGGCTCATAGGTAAGCCCGTCACTAGCAAGAAACCTTCAAGATAGTGTACAAAACAGTTGAGAAAACCAAATCAAACCCACTATATAGTCATTGATCCACAAGGATCTCTCAATAACTCGAACCCTAGCTCACAAGACTAGACAAAACCTTGTCAAGAACACGATACATGTTTACTAGCCACAATCAAAGCCTAAAACACTGTACATACGTTCTACCATCATCAGATAACAACAAGGATTATTACAAAAAACCACCAAAGATCTCTAGATCTAAGAAGAATAGAAGAACAGAGGCGATAGAACCAAAGAGAGAAAACCCAAGAGTGTACTCTTCAAAAAGTGACCGACTGATTGAAGCCCCATGCCTCAAAAGTCTCCAAAGGCATTAATAGTGGGAGACTAAATCTCAGTCTTAGGATTAGATCAACGATTCACAATAGCCAAGAGAAAAGCACAACTCGAGTGACCATCTATTAGCCAATGCCCAATTGCCAATTGTCCATATGAGTACAAAATGGACAAATCACATTTTCACTTATGAAAGTGTGGTTTGAGAAACCCAAGTTGACAATTTCGACTCTAAATTTCGATTTTGGGAGAAATGTAAGTTGTGGGTGTAGAGAGATTTGGAGGAGAAATGCTGCATTTTTCTTTGGCTTTAGTTCAGGCTTTCTTTTTTTCTTTTTTCTTTTTTACCTAGTTTTTAAATGTCATGTCAACTTGGACTTAACTCTGTTTTCTACCCCAACTCTGCTATGCTGACAGGCTTTTTTGACAGATTTTTAGACAAGCAGCCACATGGCGCCCCCCCCCCCTTGGGAGCGTCTATCAAAAAAGTCTGTTTGAGTAGCTTTTTCCTTTCTATCCTGTGCGTGTAGCAGAATTGTATTTTAAGTTGCTAACGTAGATGCCACGTCACGCCACATCTTCTCTTCACTTCTCTTCTCTTTCCGTCACAATAATAACTGCTCATCTGTATCTCTCACTCTCAAACTTTTCCTTTTCCATGAAAAACAGTTGCAAAATCCCTCTCCCCATCTCTTTTCTCTCTTATCTGCATAACTTTTGCAACTAAACTTAAAGATGCTCTAGCAGTTTCCTGATTTGCCTCTCTTTCACATGTATCCCTTTTCTTTTTCTTTTATTCAAGTTTGAATGGAATGGAACAAAGCCATACTTTAAAAGGGCTCTAATTTGCATGCCATCATTTCATAATTGTACGTATTTATATTGTGTTTTAGCCCACTTCTCTTTTAGACCCATTTTAGAACAACCTTTCATAGTAAAATTTTCCATCACAAATTCCAAAAAAACCGTTTCAAAGTGCTAGAAGTAAGCTGATCGAAGGGATATTATAGCCAGTTTTTGGGTTTATATTTCTAGTGATTCTTGGGATTGGTTTGAATAAATTTTAAAAAATACCGTAATATAGAGTACAGTGAAATTTAGGCAGTGCGTGGGGAAAATGCCAAGGAAAAATTTGAATGTGGATGGAAACTTTGGGGGAAGGCAGTGTAAAGTCAGAAAGAGAGGGAATTCTTCGTCATCTTCTTCATCATTAGTGAAGAATTATCATTTAAAGCGTGCAATTTTGATGGGCAAAAGGGGAGGGTCAAGCACTCCAGTGCCAATGTGGAAAATGAGGAATTCAAGATCCCCATCACTCAAAAATGACAATGCATTCAAGAATTTGGCACCAAAGGGTGCTGAAAAGAACAGAGATTTCTCGGTATCGGCCCGAAAGTTGGCTGCCACTTTGTGGGAGATTGATTGGTTTCCTTCATCCAGAGTGAAAAGGGAATATTCGGAAGACAAAATAAGTGTAGTAGAAAACGTTAGACAAGAAAGAATTTCGAATGCATCCAAATTGGATCCATTTCATAGTGCTATTTCTGAGGTGGGCTTGTGTTTGCTTTAACAGATTTGGATTTTCAAGTTTTTTTTTTTTTTTTATATATAGTAGATTTTATTTCAGGTCTGCAGATTTTATTGAAGTTATTTATTATTATTATTATTATTATTATTATTATTATTATTATTATTAATTTTATTTTATTTTATTTTATTTTTATTTTTTTAAATTGGAATTTGCAGAGAATGGATCCAGCTGAAGTGGGCTATCATCGAAGAAGAGCATCAGCTGGTTCTCAAAAACTTCTGCTCGGTGATTGTAATTTAGCAAGCAATAATTCTCTTCATACTTGCTTAATAGAGGTAAGGCAATTGTTTGCTTAATAGAGGTAAGGCAATTGCTCTTTTCCTTCGAATTTATCCAATATTTTGCTATTACATGTTAAAATTTTTGTGTATTTTCTATTTTTTTGCCTTCATTACGAGAAGATACCAAATATTTTTGGCAAGTTATGCAAATTAGACTGATGAAGAAAGCAAACATTCTTGGCAATGGTTTTTCTTGTATCATCAAGTGAATTCTGGCAGATTCATTGCAGTTAAAGTACTCCAAGTTCTCTCCTAAATTCGTGCTCTTCAAGATGCATAATAAGTGGGGTAATAGCCTTTGGAGCCACCTTTGGCCTACTAAGAAATGATTTCTCGTAATGGGCAAAATTTTCAGTTACCTCAACAGAACAGAGAACATGGTTTAATTTTCGTAAGGGTGCTACCAAAGCCAACATGTTGAATACTTTTCTTTATAACATTTATCGACTTCTACTGTTCACGCTTTCTTCAGTTCCCTGATCTTGAAGATTTTGAGTAGTTCCTCAATAATAAACACCAATGTTATGTTTGACAATGTGAACTTGACAGTATTGGATAGTATTAAAGAAGAAAGAGAACTTTAGTTCTTGTTTATTGAGTACCATAACTTGCGCCACAATTCTGACCTTTAACTTGATGTGCTACACAAGGGATGTTGTTGATTAAACCGTAGATTATGCAGGTTGATCAGACGACATCTCACGGACGAAGTCCGTGTAGGCACATAGTTGGGGTCAAAAGTCGTCTTAATGATGTACTTAATGGCCTTACAACATCTAAAGAACGGCTAAAAGTATTAAGTCACGTTTGTCACCTAGAAGAGCAGCACTCTACAGGATTATCACTTGTCTCGGCCTTAAAATATGAGCTTGATCAGGCGTATGTTCATGTCAATAAATTCATTCAAGAGCAAAGAACAAACCGTAGTGAGATTGATATCTTGTTGAATTGGTTCAAAGAGGAAAGGGTAGTTTGGAAAATTAAAGAACAAGATAGGATTCACTGAGCCGTTACATCTATTGCTGGTGAGCTCCAGATAGAGAAGAGGCTAAGGCGACAAACTGAGAGACTGAACAAGAAACTCGGGAAAGAATTAGCAGAGACTAGGGAATCTCTTTCAAGGGCAATGAAAGAGCTCGAGGGTGAGAAGAGGACAAGAGAGATATTGGAGCAAGTATCCAATGAGTTGGCCCAAGGCATTGGAGAAGATAGGGCTGAAGTGGAGGAACTAAAACAACAGTCAGCAAAAGTTCGTGAAGAGATGGATAAGGAGAGGGAAATGCTTCAACTAGCTGATGTACTGCGCGAGGAAAGAGTACAAATGAAGCTTTCGGAAGCCAAGTATCAGTTCGAGGAGAAAAATGCTCTTGTTGACAAGTTGAGGAGTGAGCTCCAGGCTTATTTAAAATCGAAAAATAGGCAAAGAAAAAGCTGATGCCTCCCCAAGCTATACAAAAATAAAGGAGCTCGAAAAGTATCTGAGAGAAACATTGCCCAACTCGTATCAACACCAAGATAAAGAGAAAGAAGATGTGAAAGCATTATATAAAGAAGAACTTGAAGATGATGATTCAGCTGATAGCGATCTCCATTCAATTGAATTAAATGTGGATGATATTAACAATAGCTTCCAATGGGGCAATGCTGTCAAAAATGACAAAAGAAAATTTTAGTCGATACAGGTAAAGAGAAAATGTCTCTTTCCGGAAAATCCAAAAATCTGACCATTCCCTCGAAAGAATGATTAGCAAATGGCCTAGAGTTGGAATCAGGGGCGGAGCCAGGATTTTAGTTCAGCGTGGGCAAAAAAATTTCGATGTCGAATGTCGAGGTTTTGGTCATGGATTTAATGACGCTAAAAAAATAAAATAATAGTATGAATATTAAAAACGACATAATTTATATATTTTACTTGTTCCTTGCGAGTTTTAATACTTTGTGCGAATCAGAACTGTGACGCTGCAACAGGGACGAATTCTCTCACTCACAGACAAAGGGTTGAATTGATTCAAATGAATGAATGGGTTTGGGTCAATTGAATTTTGAGGGAATGGATCTAATAGGGCTTCTCTCTCTGAGCCGGACATCGTACATTGGAAAAAAACTATGGATATTCACTACTATTGATATTTGAAACTTTAGAAGTGGGTTAAAAAAATAATAATATAAAATAAATAAATAAATAAAATCTGCCCAGTGCGGTACATGCATTGGCTCCGCACATGGTTGGAATACACTGATAAACAAAGAATATTTAGGCAGGTTTTACACGGATCGATCGTTAGAGTTTTCCTCACAGACTTGGAAAATGAATATTGAAGATGAGATCGAGAGATATATTATGATAAAAGACCTAAGAGACCGCATTGTTTCTAGTTCCAGAAACGGAGCCTCCCACAATTTGCAGAATACACATTCAAAGGATTGACAGTGTTGCAGGAAGCTATTTGACATTGGCCAAAGAGTTTTTACTCATTTTGTGGTCCTTCTTTGGCCTAATGCAATGCTTTTCATATCTTAATAGATTCAAAAAATCTTTCTGTTGGCTCCTAAATTTGCAATCTGGCATGCAAAAATGTAAACAAAATTTTATTTTTGTCATCCGCATAAGCTAATAAACAGTACAAATCTGATATTCTGATATTTTGTGTAGTCTTAAGATGCTATAAATAAAAGTTTACATACTTGTTTCAATGATTCAATCTTTGGTCTGAAATTTCTTTACTCCACGTACGTAAGTATGAATCTGTTGACGTCAAATCTGCCAAAGTTTCGTATGGATCATGTCTGAAACAATTCTCTAGTAAATGTAATGATTTGTCGTTGTTTGTCTCAGACCACTTGCTCTCAAATCATTCCAAGATCCACTTGATAATATCAATCACGTTATGGAAAAATTGCAATGTCGATCCTCGACTTATGAGTAGCAATTTGGTCTCTTAAGGGGTATATTCAATTGGCAAGGTTAAAGACTTTTTTAAGTGATAAGACTTTTGTGGAATTCGTGGACTTGTATAGATTAGTATGGAATTAATGAAAGTTTTTCATAGGCTTTTATAAAATTTTATTGAATTCATTTGACTTTGAAAACTTTCATTTGAAAATAAAATTCACTTGGGTCTAGGGTAACAGTGTGAGAATTTAAAAAGTCTATATTCAATACTTCTAAACGTTTTAAATCCTTAAACGCTTTTAAAAGTCTCGATTGAATACATATTCCTAAATATTTCATAATAGTTACATAATAACTTTATTAGATATTTTTAAAATTTCAATGTATGTGACCTTCAAATACCGACTCAAGTTTAAAAGCAAACCGTGACATGTGAGAACCATGTAAATTGGATGATTTGCTAGATTGAAAAGCAATATCACATTTCTCAATGAATTAAATAGGAGAATTTGTCGGCACAGACAATTCTCAGAGAGATTGTTTTGTCTATTAGAATGATAATTGATAGCCATATTCATGTATCATTTCAATTTTTTGTTTTCCCTATTATACATCGGGTTGGGACCACGAATAATTGATAATGCCCATCTATTGTCTCACACTACACCAAGATTATGCCACTGTCTTTGGTTTCATTCACTTTAAAACTGATTTTATAATTCCAACATAATTTGGTTACTGCAGTAATGCTACCTTTGCAATTTGGTTGTTTTTTATTAGAGGAATTAGTGGTTCATCTTGGTTCCAAGGCTAGACCGGATTCATCTTCAAGAACCATCCCAAATTAGAGGGTGTGACGGTGGTCCGAGCCAGCCCTCTCTGTAGGATCATGAGTGTCGTCCATCATAGACCTATTGAGAGTTGCGTCGGAACTCGACTACCTGATTAGGCTGATCTCATGGAGCAGGCCTTCTTTAGAGTGACAAAGCATTTTGCCTGTTATGTCCCCGGCTTATGAAAAATCTGTTACTTCTTGTTTTTATCAGACAAGCTTTCAGAATTAGTCCCTGCTGCCTGGAAGATCAGTTTTGTGATTACTGATTAGTTCCAGGAACATGGGTTTGGTAATTAAGCTTTCCGAAAGTATTTGTTCCCTCGTTTTTGGGGGTTGGCTGAGGGACAGATTTTTTCAATTTGAAAGGTAACCACGCATCGAGTGAACTTATTTAAAAGGTTTTTCAATTTCTCCGGACATCTTTCATCACTCAACATTTTGTCTCGCATTTCTTCCAAAGTTCAGAGATTATTCTGCATTCCATTCAACAACTATAGGTGGAAAATCTGTGTCATGTCCAACTCATGATATCAGATCTTGCTCAGGAAATGGATTTCCAGCAATTGTAAACTATTAGACACTGACCTCATCAGCTTCAGGTAATATACTCCATTGCCTTACCATTCTTGAATGCTGGCTCTCGTTTTCAGGATTCTTGCTAAGGGATAAAATTTCACATCTAATAAAAATGAAAACATTGACCAACTTATAAGGATTTGGTATATTTCTTTTAACAAGATTGACATTTTAAAGATGGAATCCCAAGTCTTAGAGCTCGATCAATTTTAGTACTGGTGCAACCTGTGGTTTATGATATTTTTGCTTTTCAAATAGAATGATACAACCATCCCAGTCCCAGAATCCAAACTTAGAACTTCTATGAACACCCTATCATAGGTTATTTTGCCACACCAAACAAAAAAAAAAAACCACGATAGGCTATTAATGATGTTTTCATCACAATTATAAATTATTCTTGGCAGTTTGAGCATTCGGAATGCAAAACCATCAAGATTAAGCTTGCAAACAAAGTTGAGTAACTTTACAACTAAAACATACTATTGATGTTTACCTGTGTAACTCTTTACATTGCCTTCGAGAAGATGACGATATTATGCCATTTCGTCCAGTGTTCATGTAGAGCATCACATGAATATGAGGATTACCTTATCTCGAAATAGAATCCTCAATGCAAGGCTCAAATGAATTGTTAAAACAAAACATAAATGGTTGAAGTTTGATGAAAGCCAACGGTAATAGGAAATTCTCTACCAATACCCCTACCATATCTTGCAATCGTGATTTCTCCATTATATATATATATATATAAATTTAATATTACTGATGTACTTGACAATTTGTGCCTGAAAAGACCTTAACACTTCTTGAACAACCTATCAATGATGTTTTAACTAAATCACTGAATGGTTATTTGAAAAAAGGGCGATTAATGCTGTTTCATCACAATTATTAAATTGTTCATGTGGTGGGTTCCTGAGGGCATATAGAACTTGTTCGCCATCTCTCATTAGCTATGGCTTTTGGAAAAAGTAATTGTATCTTTTTACATTACATGTATTGCACGTGCCAAAAAACTTGTACCGTGGAATTTTATCCTATAAACTTCGAATCGTTACACCATTTAACATCTTCTTCATAATTGGTGGTTTTTTTTCCAAAAACACTGGTCCTTTACCAATGAAGACATCGATGATAATAGAAGCATCGACAATAGCAAAGGAAACAATAAAGGCGCTGGTTCCATTTTTAATCCATTTTTTTGTGGGGGAAAAAATCTTTCATTGTTTTTCTTAAATAAGTAGTTCTTTTTGAAAGAAAACCAGTCAAATCTGGTTGAAACAATGGTTTACCATATTTTCTAATCTAATTAGATTTTGGCCTCTGACCGGATGGGGTTTGGCTCTGATTTCTGGTCTTGTTCCCACTCGATTTAGATTCAAAGGCTCGTTCATATATATTTAGAATCTCATGAATTGTTGATTTGAGAACTCTGCATAAAAACCGGGTCTTTGTTCAAATTTATTCATATAAATAATAAATATAATAAAGGGGGTGAAAAATACAAAAAATATGAATAGTTAAGACTTCAAATGACTCCCTTGTACTTTTCGACGGAGTATGGCGCATTCAAATATTATGACACATTCTTTGGAAAAACAATAAATCTTCTTGGAGGCCCTGTCTGTCGATTAGGCGACCCATTCGTAGCCCTGTCCATCAAGCATTTCTCTTAGAAAAAATATATTTTTCAACAATAATTTGACATCCTTTCAATCACACATTTTTTAATAAAATAATATTACTCATAAATTCGAAACTTATTCTTATTTTTTAACTACACATTCTACATTAATCTATTATTTCAAAATACATAAAAAAATGTAACTCAAACATACACATTAACACACATGTTGGGTGAAGATATGAATACATGTCAATTGTCTGAAGTGCTAACTGGGACAAATATCAAATTTTCATCATGAGTTGCAAGTCCCACTATTGCATACATTGACCAATGACATGATCGGTTGGATTTTATGAGACATCGTCCCAGATTCAAATTATTCCTAGTTCATTTGTGAGGAAATTTCACATAATATCCATTTTCACTTAGTCATTTATAAAAATGTTCATAATTTTGTCAATATCCATTTTTCAATTATGTAGACAAAAATACCACTGTTAGCAAATTCTATTTCTACACAAGAATTCAAATTTTTCCATATAATTATAAATGTTAATCGACATACAAATGTCAATCAACATCAAATGCCTGGGTCAGGTAAGTACAGATCGGGTTGTGGGTCAAATGGAAACCTGATAGAACTCGACACGAATACCTAAAAATAAAGGGGGTGGGGAAATGAAAAAATAAAAGAAGCCCTAAACTAAGTCCTCTCAACTCTCACACTTTTGGTCTCTCAATCTTCACTCCGACTCAACCCGTCGACAACGAGCCCGTCCGTTTCTCTTGTAGTTTCCCAGTTGTCGTTTGTCGACCACACACTGGAGTCCAGTGTCGTTTGGCGACCACACTCTCAATCTTCACAGAATTCTTCACTCCAACCCAACCCGCCGACAACGAGCCCGTCCGTTTGTCTCTTCGTTTCCCAGTTGCCGTTTGCCAACCACACTCTAGAGTCCAGTGCTATAGAGTAAGTTTATTTCCCTATTTTCTCACTTCCCCAAGTCTCCTCTCTTCCTAAATCCTAAGACTTGTATTATTACATAAATTGATGTCAAAATCACTGGGTGTTTCGATTCTATTGGACGAGCAAATACTAACTATTAAAACAATTTGAGATAAAAGTTGTACATGTGAGCTACTGTCGAAAAGGTTGAAGAGGTAAAGTCTTGTATTTATCGCAACGTGTTTAAAGAAATCAGGAAAATGATTGTACTTTCTGCTGTCCGTGTTATTGTATCTTTTTCTTTGAGATATAATCTATATTTCAACTAAATTTGATGTTGTTAGATGATAAATAATACTAGTACAAAGTGAGAAATACTCCTTTTGAGGTATATTTCGCATCTAAGTTAGGCAATAAACATGATGAAATGACACAGGCTGTGTGGCTATTATACACTCTTGAACTTTTGAATGCTCATCAGCAACTAAATGACTTCATTTTCACATCAAATTTGTTCTGCATCTTCTTAAGGGTTGTATTTTTATATTGATGGTTTCTTATGAAGGAAGACCGTGATAGGTTGATAGCAGATGAAAAACTTTGTCAAATCTTATGACATGTATACTTGTACACATTTCATTGAGGCATAACCGAGCAACAATGCTGTCAATCAGATTTTGCGTATGGTCTGTTGTAGCTGGCTCTAAATTTATTTAAAATAAAGCTATGTTGTTGTTATTTATTTTGCTAAAGAATGTTGTATTTTAGGTTTATTTGCATATCTAAATTAGGCAATTAACTTAATGAAATGGTACAAGATTGTGTGTATATTCTTGAACTATTTGAATGGTGATCAACTATAAAATGGTTAACTAATAGTTTCATATCAAAAGCCATATTTAGGATGTCAAACAACTTGCAGGAATTTGTAAAAATCATATTTCATCTTATTTCATTTCAAACTCCTAAATGAATCAGCATCAAGATATGTATAAGATCCATTTGTAAAAACCCTATTTCATATCTCATATAATTAAGTCACAGGAAAAAGACCTGTAATTAATTATACTCTATAAATAAATTCAATAAAATAAAGAAATCTCATTTACATTTATATTGAATAACTTTTAATATTATTTAATCAAATTTTAATAAACGATCGAGCTATTATGGTTGTTCATTGTCGACGGTCAATGGATAATGGTCAACCTCCGCCCTAACTGAACTTTGGTGTTGGATTCGCCACTGAGCAGGGTATAAGGTTTTAGAACTACCCATTCTTTATTTCTGCTTCAATAACATGATGGTTATTACTGTTATAAATGTCATGCAGATTTCGACGTACGAGGCAATCCCGAAGTTGGGAGCTTGATTCTCAAGTAAGACTTGCGACGATGTCCCGAGGATGTTGTGGTGGTCTGGCACGAAACAACCTCATTCCCGAACATATTCAGATTTTTTTGAAAAGACAGATGTAAGCAATTTACATACATAATTTCCTTACACTTTCGCAATATATAATATTTCATTTCACCTATTTTTCCTTCCCCTGTAGGTGCATTTGTGGACAACGCTGCACGCAACTGCTGCAAAAGAATTGCAGCCATACTTCGCCGATCTAGTCTGGTTGCAAGATGTAGTTGACCCCGTTCTAGATGGTCATGTTGCTCAATCAATAGAAATACAAGCTTGTCCAGTTGAAGATGATGTCATACGGAACGATGACAATAGCCATCGACCAAATAAATCCCAGAGAGGCAACAAAGGCGGACCTCGTCATCGAGGTTTGCATCACGTTGAAGGCAGAGAAGAAGAGCATGGGGATTCGATCATTGAAAGGCATGTGTCTTTAGATGAGATA